CGGCTCGTTTCGTTCTTACCCGCGCCGCTCGGAAATGAATTGAGTTATTGTAAAATCGTGTCCAGCGCCGGCCTGCGACTGTCCGCGCGTGTCTCCGGGGCCCGCCGCTATGTACTCGGCCAGGATTTTTCGCTCGGCGCCTTTTGACCGCGCGTCCGCGGGCCCCGGCCCACGTGCGTCCGACACGATCTCACGCCGATCGACGTGTCCCCTTTCCGATACCGCGCGATTCCGCGACAACCGGGAAATCGGTACAATAGGTCTCTCGGGGAGTTTGTCGCGGAGAATCGTGCCGCGCGTAAATCAAAGGTGAAACTTTTTCTCTTTCACCGTTTCGGGACAAGGGACTCGGATAATTCAGGTCGGATGTAAACGGGAATTTTTGTTTTCGTGGATTTATGCGATTGCTCTGTGCCGGTCTATGCGGGTTGAACGATGTTATTGTTCGAGGGAATCGGAACGGGAGATTTTGGTTCATTCGGTTGTTCCATTGAGAACAGCGCGGGAGGACAGGGGTTGAATGAGTAAGCGCAATAAGCAGGTGCTTCTCGACTCACCGGCTTCGAATCTCCTTCCAGCTGATCGGGTTTATGGCCGCGACGACCCCATCCACCGGCGAACAATTACGCCGAACATCGGGAAGCACACCGTTCTGCGAACAGATTCAGGGAATCGTTTTATTGTCTCGGACGATAATGGCTGCAGTTTGAGATGCATTGGCGGAAGCTCTTTGGCTCGGTTCGGTTATTGTCGATTCGCAGGCTGCTCTCGGATAGACGGCGAATTTCATCGGAACCAGCCGCCTATTAATTTATCGCGCGCGATTGAAGCCACGGGCAGCTCGACTCGATTCTCGGATGCCACTCTGAAAGAGTCACTGAATATAAATTGTGCTTGAACAGATAATCGAGGGTCCCGATGGAAACTCGATCGAACAAAAAATGGCAAAATTATGATTGACGTTCGAAACGGCGCACTGTCGATGCTGCTAGAGCTGAAGAGCATGAGAAAGGTAATTTGCTGGTGCGTGGCAAAAACTGCGGATAAATCTCGCGTATTAATCGAGAATGAGTAGCAGTATGCGTCAAAGTTTAAGTATTAGTCGGAGACTTAAAAAATTCATCATCCTCGGCTTCGCCTGTCTAGGCTCATGTTTGATTCCATAAGATTTCCAATGAACCCCGTATAACGCTTAAGCGGTTTTATATTAGTCATCCGCTTCCAAATAGGAAGCTACGTTTATGCACAATAAACTTCATACACGCTTTTCACACTTCTTTAGTTACCCGGGGATGCTTTCGTTTAAGGAAATTGCTTGGACTCGGGTGGCAATAAATTTTCTAAGCAGTAAACTTGTCTATAAACTGTAAAACAGGGACTAGATAAGTAAAGTATAGTTCGTGCTGCCGAGAGCCTCGCGGAAGGACGAGATTTATGCTTTCTTTTCCCGTTTTATTCGAGATCCCAATACCATACGCATTCTTGAGCATAAGTGTCGCATCTCTCGAACTAATTGCCAGCGAAATATTCCAAAAGGACAACGAGGCGAGCGAAGGAAACGTTCGCCGGTGTTCCGAAGTCCTCGTCGACGCGAGTGCCCATTATCCTCTCCTTTGTTAATTGATAACAAAAGGACCGGTCGAGGATACCGAGATTTCGCGCGGAGGTCGAAGGACTCGTGGCCCGCGGCTGGACCCGACAGATACGAAGGATCCGGGGGGAGAAGACAAAGGACGATGATTCAGAGGTAGTAGGAGAGAAGTACCTGGTAGATGACACGAGATTCCTACGAAGGTGGGTACTACGTCACTGTCTTTTTCTTCGCCGGATTCTCCGTCTCGCGCGCACCAACCCACGGTTTCAGCGTTTTCAACTCGAAACGCCGGCATTCCTCCCGCCGGGTGGAATCCGACGATGTTAAATGAACCGTCCTGAGAAAATATAATGTCCGCTAAACATTCTTCCCCGTTTTTGTAATTTATCGCCGACCAAAATCGCCTGAATCACTCGGCGAGCTCTCGTGACCGATCGACTGGACCGCAAAATTTTGCTCTTCGAAACGGAAGGATTGGATTCTCCGCTATGCAAACACGCGAACGGCGGTTACCAACGCGTCGCGAGCCGCTGATCGCGCACGAGGGAGGCGACAGTTGGCGAGGAGATTTGTTCTACGTCGCTCAAATGTATTCCCCGTTCGTTACTCTGCGAATTTCGCGGGACCCCGTTGAAACAGACGAGAGAGATTTCCAATGAAATACGAGCGACATTAGCGGTGTCTCCGCAGAGGCATTCCTAGCTGACCGGCACCATCTTCCCGCGCGGTCCCACGGAGGACGGCAGGTAGTCTTTTGCTCTATTAATAGAGCGGCTGATCAATTCGCGGTCACTCGACATCTTGGGTACCTGTGCCACGTGGGCGTTCCCGGGAAGCAGCCAGCCCTAAAGTCGTTAAGTAGCCACTTCGGACTTCGGAATAAGGAGATGATGGATCATTAGCCCTCGTGATTCCCCTGCGGCTTTCGGCTGCTCCTTAGGATCGCATACTTGCCGTTTGCGAGGAAACAAACAACGGCCGGGCCCGTATATCGTCGGATGTTTTGCTTACGCGGTCGAGATTTATGAGCGGCCATTGCTCGTATTTCTTTGGAGCCGAGATAACTAGGTTCGCCCTATGAATGAGACCGTGCTGTAGGCGTGTCCTCTTTTTCGTAACGTACAGTTCGACAAGAGACGAGTTAATCGAAGTCATTCGTTTCCATCAATTCCGCGAGGTCTCAAAATCATCCTACTCGAGCGGTCGATGGTTTCTTGTAATATATCCATCGACTCGGCTCGATTCGCACCCGTTCCCATTGGAAACTGTACACGACTCTTGTCACACCTTCGAGACGTCACCTGTGAACTTTGAACGCTCGTTACCGGGGAATCGACGCGACCAGTTTCCGCAAAGTGCAGTGTTCCCGGTTACGTGTCGCCCACGCTCGGCTCGCGTCGCGAGTAACTACAATAGAACCAACAATGACGCTATAAATTGCGCTGCGGTTCTTCGCGGCCCTGGCAGAAATCGGAGCTGAATTCCAGGGTTCGCAAATGGCGCTTTGTCCGCGTTGTTTCGCGGTGTTATCCGGACGATCTCGATACCGTAACAACTGTCCGGATTGATAACGTCACGCCGGCCTGGAAAAAGACGGCCGGCCGGACCGATACCGGTCCGTCGTAGTTTTCCAGCGTCCGCCGCCGCCGCCGCCGCCGCCGCCGCCGCGAGAGACTGGTCCGTTACGTCGAACCGGCGACCAAAAATGGTCGGTCGGGTTCTCTCCCGTGTACGCTTCCTTGCTTCTTAACAACGCCCACGCGTTATTAGCATATTAATGCAACGGCGGAAACGGGCGACTCGCGTTTCTGGAGGACCTAAATGGCGTGAGCGGGGCTCGCAAGCGAGCTTTCAGTGCGCAGTTTACCGATACCTTTGATTTTGATGCGCGGCTGGTCGGGCGTTATCTACGAATTACAACTTCCTTCTTGTCGCGGATCTCGCCAATAAATAGCGTACGCCCGGCGAAAAAGCCCACGGTTACGCCGTGAGATACGCCGCGGAAAATACGACTGTTTCGCGTCCTAATAGCGCGAACGTTCCGTTTTATCTGGAAATAAGGCTCTCGCCGGGGCCCGCGCGCCGCGTGACCACGGATAAAGTGAACCGGGTGGTGGCTGGCGCATTATCGTCGGTGTTCGCTCGCGATCGAGCCTCCACCGCCGCGTCCGGCTACCATTACCGCGGACGCTCCTGTCGGCGGCTTCCACGCGGCTCCCTTATCCGACAATTTGCGCGTAATACAAGCCGGGCTTATGCGTTTTTGTTACGAGCGGCCGGTACGCGAGCCGCTCGAATCTTATCCCCGCGGGATGCTCCAGCACTACTTTCCTCCGCAGTCGAAAGTGACCGTTTAGCACCTTTATTGCTGCCTACCGCTACCTACAGACCTCGAGCTTCTATTCCGTGACCACGAGTTTATCGGATGGCGATCGAATCCTTTCGCTCCAACGAGAATCGAATACTCTTTGATCCCTCGACTGCCGATCGAATTCCTAAGGGTGAAGCACGCCGATACACGAAACTCTCCGCGCCGAACGCTCGACCATGTTATCGCCATCGCTTTCCACGTTTTTACAACGGAGCCAGTATCCCCGTCCACTCAGGAATCCGTACGCTCGGCGAGCCTCTTCATAAAGCCATAGCTCCTCGGCTAACAATCGCCGCCACTAAATGTCAGACACGAACGCGCGAATGGTTCTCGGTAAAAACACGGAGCCACGACCTGTATTAAGCACCTGTAATCGGCTTCTGGTTGGTTCGACCAGTCTTCCGGGGAACGGGGGTAGGATCGGTGCCGTGAGACGAACAGCTGATTAAAGAGCATGCGTCCAACCGAGTAGAAAGGGAGTAGCGGGTCGAAGATTCAGGAACAATCGGCGGAGAGAGAGAGGGAGGGAGAGAGAAAGAAAGAGCACACGACCAGAGGAATCGGCCTGGAGCTACGCAGGCGATCGGTCAGGTAGGAGCCCGGTAGGTGAGCTGTTTGCCGGTTGGAAGGCGAGTCCAAGCCGCTGGAAGGATGCTGGAGAGGCCGAGTGGTGGCGGCACGGCCGGTGTGGTCAGGTGGTTCGCAAGGACGCGGCAGGCCGTTCACCCGTTCACCCGTTCCTCTCTCGTCCCCTTCTCACCGCCCCACCGGTGTCTACACTGTTCGCGCGATCTCTCTTTCTCTCCCCTGAATCTCGGTCCCCTCTTTTTCTCTCTGTCACTCTTTCTCTCTCTCTCTCTCTCTCTCTCGCACCTCGACTTCGTTTCTTTCTCTTTTATCTTCTACACTCCCCTCCAACGGTGTTCTTCATCTTCCTTCTCCCCGTTGTTCACCGAACCTCTCCTCGTTCGCTCTATTCCCCCTTTCTAGATCCGAACGCGCAAGCATCGACTTAACTAAGTTACCGGTATTTATACGCGGAGGAATCGCTGGTTACCCCGGCCGCACTGTTCATGTAAACACGATAATTGGCCTGTTACGCTCCGCTTTTTGCGCACGCGGACATTTTTTCACCGATAACGCCCCGTGTCCCGATCAGCCGGGTCCCTGGGTAACGTCTTCTTAGGCCGAGACACGCGGGACCCGCGTGCGGCTTCCGATGGAGCCGAGGACACTGCCTCTTTATACGGCCGCGGAGAATTCTAGTCCGAGTCTGCCTCCGAGTACTTTCCTTTTTTTTCCAATTGTGGCGGACTGCTCGAATCTATTCGCCTCGGTTTCCGACCGATCGCCGGCTTTTCTTGCCGGAGGTTTAATTCCACTCCTACCGATCGCTTAGGAGTTGGACAGGAGCTGGATCGATTAACGCTTTACCTACTAAGGGCTTCTTGATAAATCTCAGTAGGACCGAGCTATTGTGGACCGAGACGTGCCGAGCAATAGAATCGAATCGCTTTACGGTGTATTATCGAAAAGAAATAAGCTAGCTAGATATTAACCGAGTGAAAACAAACATTTTGTCGTCATCGAATTTCTAAAATGTCAAGTCGTAAACGAATAATTTAATTATTCGACTAACGAGTGTCAGTAGATGATTCTCTTTTTGTTTAATATCTAAGAGTTAAAT